TCATCGCCTCTGTCGTCAACGTCACCTCTATCATCGTCCGTGGCTGCATGTGTTCCCGACGCAAATAAATCATCGTCATCGCTGGATGTGCTGTCGAACAAGAAGTCACCCTCGTCCCAACGCATGCGGGCCCTGCGAATGCAACCATCCGTCCTCTGTCATCGAGTCCAAGGAGCGGAACCCACATCGCCACGTGTCCGCTATGTGACACCCGCGGCCTAGGCCGCGGGCATTTCGGCCGCTGCGACCGAGATTCTCGGCCTCGGCCGCGGTCAATGAGGCCCGGTCCGCGGCCCGGTTATTCAATATTTTTTTTCTCCCCCTTAAAATACGTAAAAATATATATATATATATATATGGGGGTGTAGGGCTTGAAAAACCCTACACTCCTATATTTTTTTTTATTGGAATCCGAATTTGTTTAAGATTTTTTAAAAATCAAAAACGAAAATCGATTTAAACAAAAAAAAATATATATATATATATATATAAAGAAAAGCAAGAAATTTTTTTTGCCATTTTTTATCATGAGATATATGGTCCCTGAGTACACCTGTATTTTCTTTTGAATTGGATTTTTGTTTTTTGCAGGGAAATGAGGTGTTTCAAAAAAATAAAGATGCAAAATTTTAAAAGAAATTTAAAAAAAAAAAGGTTTGATTGATTGATTGATTGATTGATTGATTGATTGATTGAGTGTGTGTGTGTGTGTGTGTGTGTGTGTGTGTGTGTGTGTGTGTGTGAGAGAGAGAGAGTTTGTGTACGCGTGTGTGTGTGCTGTGTGTGTGTGTGTGTGTGTGTGTGTGTGTGGGCGTGCGGGAGCGTGCGCGCGCCCGCGCACGCGCGCGCGAGAGAGAGAGAGAGAGAGGTGTGCAAGTGTGAGTGTGTGAGTGTGTGTGTGTGCGTGTGTGTGTGTGCTGTGTGTCCTATGAACGGAGAATGGGGGAAATTCAACGCCGTTGAACCCGTTCAACGGGCCTGGGGGGCCCCGTTAAATCGCGTTTAACGCGAAAACGGGGGTGTTCCGTTGAATTTAAAAAAACGAAACCGGCGCGTTGGGCCTCGGACACGTGGCCCTACGCGCCCAAACACTAAAAACAAGAAAAAGAAAGAAAAAAATTGACCCCTGCTAACAGGGTGGGGTGGCCAAACATGCCCCTCCCTCCCGAAATTCAAACAGAAAGAGGGAAAAAAAGTAAGCCCAAACACT